ACCCAGTACCCTGCACCCTGCACCCTGCATCAGCACCCAGCACCCTGCACCCAGCACCAGCACCCTGCACTAGCACCCAGCACCCGGCGGCTCAGTGGGGGGCGCAGACCCCTCCTGTCTCCCCACTGCCTCCTCTCCCGTGACCGCAGCCCGCCTCTCCCACGCTGCCAACTGCCCGTTATCTGACCACAGCTTCCTACTTTTCCAGCCTTCCCAGACTCCCACGGTCGGAACTGTTCTTTGACCACATTCCCACTTCCAGCCTCCTCCATCTTCCTCTCGCACTGTCAACTCTCGTCCTCCCTGGTGTCCGGCCGCCCTGTGCAGCTGGACCCATAGCTTGGCCGCTCGACGACCCTCTCGTCAATACCTTAACCTACCCCGACCCTCGCTGCGCCTGCCTCATCCGCCAGCCCCGAGTCCGGGAAGAAACTGCGTCCTGCTGTATCCAACCCGCAGGGACCGCTGGGGGAGACTGCGCCTTCGTGCAGACAGGGGCCCCTCGCACTCACGGCCTGCGATTTGAAACGGGATGTAAGGTTTTCACAGCTCTGCCTTGCGTGAGCCTCCTCCGAACTCGACCGGGGCATCCCAAGCCTCCCTCTCCAGCTCAGCTGCGCACACGGCCCCACCTCCCGCTCGGCACGGGAGAAGCCACGAGAATTAGCCCCCATGACTCCCGCTCACCCACCGGCCTCACACTCAGCGACACCTGCGGCTCCTTCCCTCTGCCTCAGGGCAGACGGGTCCTCTCGGGGGTCTGGACCTGTCCCTCCCCTGCCCCCTCCCCAGCCGCCCTCCTGAATCCTCCGGATGCCCGGCTACCCTCACACTTCCCCTCCTCGCGTAGACGCACTCAGAGTCTTTCTGTCCTTAAAAAGCAGCCCCTTCCTGAGCCCCGAGTGACCCCCCGCTTTCTAGCCCGCATACAAACCGCTCGAAGCCTTGTCCCCCGGTCTCCACTTCCTCACCTCCCAGCCAGTGCTCAGCCCTCTACAATCGAGCTCCTGCCCCCAGGTCCCCGACACTTTGCGTGGGAGGAAGGAAACGTCCAATGTCAGCAGGGCCAGGTGCTGCACGTCACAGTCCCCAAAGACGCACGGGAGAGACGGGGGCGAGGGGGGAAGCAGGCCTGAGAGCATTTCTGGCCCTGGAAGGCGGGATCCTGGAGTGTGTGTGTGCAGGTGCACGCGTGTGTGCAGGTGCACGCGTGTGCACGTGTGCGCACGCCCGAGATCAGGCAGCAGGGGCAGCTTCACGCCTACTCCTTGGTTCCATCCGAGGCTGCCGTGACGGGCCTGGCCGTGACAAGGTAGGAACCACAAACTGGCTACGATTCAGCTGCTATGTGACTGTGACCATATCCCCCAAATAAAAAACTGAGACAGGAGGTCTCTTGATGGGCAGGACATTTGAATTTGGAGCCCCCTCAAGAAAAGCTGGGAAAGCTGACTGACAAACATCAGGGGTCGGAACTCCTGGCGCAGCCCCCCGCCTGGACTTTGAGTCAACGAACTCCCGGGCGCCGGCTCCCAGGCCCTACCTGGAGGGGTCTCTCTTGGCTGGTGGTAAGCAGAGAAGGGGGAGCGGCCCCAGGGCGTGTCCTGCAGCCCTGGAGGGGGACAGTCCCAAGCAAGCCCTCCGCCGCTCCCCTGGACAGCAGCTGCGGCCACTGCCAAGTGGGGGGCTGGGCGTGGACACAGGCGTCTCCCCAGCCCTGGGCAGCCAGAGGCACCCGCGGGCCATCCACGGTGGCCCGCTGCAGCCCTACTCTGAGCGTCAGGTGGGCTCCGGGGCCTGCACACTCCACCCTGTCAGTACCTGTGTGTCGGGGGCTCGTCACTCGCATGTTCGACTTGGAGGGGAAGAGACGCGGTCACAGAGCCCAGGTTTGAGCCTTGGCGAGGTAAAGCCTGACCCAACCGACAGGCTCGCGAGACAGTCGCGGAGTCTGGGGCTTCTGTTTCTTAGTGATCGGGCCTCCCGCGACGAGCTCCTTGTACCCCGCACGTGACTTCACCACCGACACCGCACCGACGTCGCTCTCATTTCCCTTCCTCTTCCTGTTCCCAGACCCAGGAAGGCCATTTCCTAGGCTAAGGTGCCATCTCAAGGGGACTCTGGCACAGAGGAGTCAAAGTCACTGTTTCCTCGCGCAGGGAGCCGTGTATGGCGAGAGCGAATGGGACGGGACATACGTGTCCTCGTCTCCCAGGCTGGCCGCATGTCAGGGGCAGAGCACTCCCCGCTGTCAAAACGTACCCCAAGAAATGGGTGGACGCCCAGGCTGGTTCTGTCTGCACGAGGGAAAACAACACAGACTTCTGGTGTTGACACTTATTGTGGTCGGAAACTCCAAAGTCGGTAACTGTCAAAACGTCTCTGTCTCCTCTCCCGTCTCCCCCAAAGCTGAAGGTGGAGGATGGGACGGAGGGAGGCGTTCTCGGGGAGGACGCACTAGGATGACAAGTCTCCTCCGACCTGGAGGCCCTGGCAATCCCCGGGCAGCGACGAGATGCACGTTCCTCTCGGCCCGGCGGGAAGGTGCGCTTCCTTCGCGACCACGGCGCGGCTGTAAAAGGAGCCGCGACCAAAACCAGCTGCTACGAGGAAGCGGACATGGCACTGAGGGCCCCGGGCTGGACACGGCCACTGTTCCCCTAAACACCGTTCCAAAGCCACGGAGGCTGTCGGTCCAGGCCGCGGACCACGGACACAGGAGAAAAGTGCCCGTCGCCTGTGGCCCGTTTTCAAGTGCAGCAGCCACCAAGGCCTAGGGGGGCTGGGGCTCGGCTGGCGGGAGGATGCCAGGGCAGGGGACAGGCTGGGGACAGATGGGAACTCTGCTAAGAAGGACGGAGTGATCTGTGCCTTCCGCTCAGCTCTGCCAAACTTCCTACCACACCTTAAACCAAGTGAACAACAATAGCAAGAGTGCAGGGCTGGGCCTGCCTTATCCTACACGTATGTAACATACGTGACACCCGACGTCCGTGATCTGGAGCCCTGTCTGCGAGGTCGTCTGCACTCGGGACACCCACGGAGCACAGCCAGTGGCGCCGCCACGTGGCCAGCGAGGGTCGCGGCTCTCAGCAGCTAAACCCAGGTCTGCACCCTGCCTGCAGGACGAGGCCACCCAGGGCTCTCGTACTTCTCTTTATTTTCCACGGTAGAGAAAAGGGATTTGCCCTGGTGGTTTTTCTCAACCGGAACCCCAGGGCTGTCTTCTAGAAAGGGGTCCATTCACACTGGCAGCCCCTGTTTCACTTAGAAAGCAGAGTTAAGAACTTGCTACTTAACTTCTGGTCACCCAGGCTGGGAGGCGGCAGGTCGCTAACGGCTGGCTGACACCCGGCCACAGAGCGAGGGACCAGTGAGAAGGTCAGAGTGCGGACAGCGGCTTTTTCAACGACGACAGACATTATACCCCGTGTAATTCCGTACGGTGACTGCCAGCTACTGGCTGCTTTGGATCTAAGGAAAATAAAACAAACTCACCTTGAAAATTTACTGGGGCCTTCACCGTCTTCGTCATCGAAGTCCATCCTGCAAAGTCGAGATCACAAGTGAGTACTGATGGAGGTAGAAGGTTCTAGCTGGTAGGGACGCGGCTGCCGGGACCAGGGAGCTTTATCCGGCCGGACTGCCATGGTCCAGCCATTGGCAGTGCTGCCGGCAAAACCTCCGCAGTCCCCAGACAGGCCCGAGACAGGAAGAGGCGAAGGGACAGCCCTGGGTGTGAGCACGCTGACCGCCTGGTTGGAGATGGCCGAGCATCGGCGAGACCCGCGGCATCCGCCCGCCCACCCCCACGCTGGCAGGCTCAGCTGCGGCGGCCGGCTCGGGCTGTGCCGGGAGGAGGGTGGCTTTTCTCATCTCCCCCCCGTCCTGGGGACACCTGCACCCTCCACATCACCCATTCCACACTGGGACTTCCTTTTTTTTCTCTTTCTCTATTTTATGGTATAGCAACAGACCACGAAAATTCGAGGGGTTGTGAAAACAGGAAGCTTTGAGGGTGACGCGGGGATCGCCAGGGAAAGAACACGCCGCGGGCTGTGCTGCTCGAGGACTCGGCTGGTCTTGGCGAGTTCAGACGAACAGGACACTTAAGGCCTTGTCCTATGAAGTCCAGGACGCAACACACAGGGTGTTGAGGGAGAAATAGTCGTTTGGGGCCTAAGCTACTCAAATCGCTCATCCGCTTGTCGAAACTCACCACATATAATCATTATTCAGACTCCCCCGTTACTGGTCCTCTCCACGGAAACATAAAACAAAAGTCATGATCGATACTTGTTTAACTACCAACCCGCACTCTTCCTAATGTCAGTCAGCATCATCCCTGAAGGTGACAGGGCAGAGGGGACACCTACTCGGTGCCAGCATGCCATGAGCCTTGGGGGGGCGCGAGGAGAACTGATGCAGACGCCCCGGCCTCCTGGGCACCCGGGCTGGGGGGGCTCCTGGGCAGAGTGTCGCGGAGCCCCCGCATGCCCACCGTGCTCTAGCGGCCTGGCGGACCGGGTACGGCACAGTCCCCGCGGAATCCGAGCGGGAGGGAGGCAGCCTGCCTGGGCCCCAGGACCCAGAAACGCCTTGTCTGGGGAGCTCACCGCAAGAGCGCCGTGTGTAGTAAAGACCCCAGCTACGGACGCTCACCCCCACCCCCAGGCTCTAAGGGCAGGGCCTCCGCGGCCCAGGGCTGACCGGGGAAGGGGCGGGACAGCCAGGCTAGCAGGAAGCAGCCAGCCGCCCAGGACGAGCCGTCCGTGCAGAAACCCACTCGAGAAGCCGCTACCGAGAAAACCCTGTTCTCCAGGCTTTGGGGTAACTTGAAGGGCCTGGGGAGGAGGCAGCTAAGGAAAGGAGTGTTTTCGTCTTAAAATTAGTATTTTTTTGTCTATTTTTGCTTTGTTTTATGGGCAGTGCGGCCACAGTTCCAATCTGGGCATCATTTTGTTCAGAATGACCCGATGGGGCCCCCCCAGGTTGGCGTCCCCCCCCAGGTTGGCGTCCCTGGCTGTCCGGAGCAAGGCTGCACTGAGTACGAGAGCACAGGGAGTGGGGTGGGTGGGGGAGCAAAGGAAGGTGCCCGCTGGGAGACCACACACCCACAGGAAGGACAGCCGCGGGCCCTGCAACGCAGCTGGGAGACCAGGCTCCGGGCGGCTGCGGGGCTGCCTAGTTGTGGGCACGTGGGAGCTGAAGGCGGCCTTTCTAAATAAAGCAAAGCCGCCGGCGTCGGCGTAATCGCTAAGCCATCCCCTCACCTTTCCCCAAAACCACACCTGGGCGGAATCTGGTTCGCCCGGCGTTCCGCGGAGCCACACCGCCACCCAGTGTTCGTCCTGGGGGAGCGCGACTTTGCCGTCCCCGCGGAGGTGACTGAGCAGCTCGTGCAAAACATTTCAGTGCTAAGAAAAAGCAGCACCGTAAAAATTCCAAAACACTCACGCGGCATTTAGCAGCCCGCAGGTGGGGGAGAGGGGGCAGTTAAAGCTCCTCTTGCTCCGGTTGGTTTGAGCGTGACCCCCAGGTTCCTGCAAACGGCATCTGCTCCTCATCACTCCTTCCTCAGCCTACATGACCTCTGGGGCGTAACCCCCCTCCTGACCACCCGGGACAGGGACTCCGGGGACAGGGCCCGGGGCCTCAGTGCTACACGGGGCGAGTCCTGGGCAGACCAGGACGGTTGGTTGCGTGGTTTTCTTCCCACCCCCGTTCTTTCCCCGGCCCGCCATGGAGCAGGCAAAGGGGGTCTGGGCCCTGTGCGAAGGGGTCCCGCTCTGGCCGGGGCATGAAGAGGGGTGGCCCCGCTCTGGCCACCAAGGGAACTTGGGAACCGGGATCTGTCGGGGAAAAATCAGGGCCCAGAAACTGCCCTGCACCTGTGCGTGAGTGCGACCGCACGTCTGCCGCGAGGATCTAGCGGCTCAGAAGAGCACGCGCTGGGCGTGACCCCAGGAGACGAATCAGGGCACGAACTTTTCCTATTCTCAGATAACTCAACAGACCCCAAAATGGTCTCACCGGCCCATCAGCAGCAGAGAACAATGCGACTCCCGAGGACACGAGGGGCTTTCAGAGCCGCACTGGCCGAGACCCCGCAGTGGTCTCGTTCGCCACTCCAAGTCCTGCCTTTAAAGAGGACGACCCTACGCCTGCCTCTTCCTTCTGCTGTAAAAAAGTCTCCGTGGATCATCCTTTGTTTTACGTCTTCCAGGCGTCTCTATTGTACTGCAGCATCTGGCGGATAAAAGAGATCCAAATGCGACTTTTGGGTCCTGCTGTGTTCACTTTGGAGACCTCGGCACAGGGGGCGACAACACGGAGTCTTGCGAAGGTGGCGGGACCCGCGCTTGGCCTCGCCCTCCTGTCGACGAGCCCGAGTGCTGCCGCGGCACGAAGCCGCGACGACGGGCATTTCCGAGCTGCGCTTAGTGAGGAGAGAGGGGTGTGAGCTCCCTGCCAGCCGTGACTGTGCGGTCACAAGCCACCTTCGAATCCGAGTCACCCAACGGGACTCACGCTCTCGGGAGAAAGCAGGAAAGGGCCGGTCCGGGGCCAGCCCGAGGCTTCCGCCGACGCGGCTGCTCGAAGCTGCTTTTCCTTCGAGCCTGGGCCGGCGGGGAGGACACAGCGATGCCGGCGCGTGCGTGCTCACCGGGAGAAGCCTCTGCTTCGGGAAACACGCCCCTAACGTGACCACCCTGCAGCAGCTCACGGGGTCGCGTGAGAGGGAGAGCTGGGCCAGCGGCTGTGTGATTGGAAAGCAGTTTTCCCGCAGTGACGCTCAAGCGGAGCCCAGCACTGGACTCCACGGCAGAGGGAAGGGACATCCCCTGCCAGCCACCTCCAGCCTCCGACCCCACAAGGGCAGCTTCAGGGGCGGGCACGGACCCTAATTAATGGCCGCTGCTTCCCCCTTAACCGAGTTAGCCCGGAGGAGCCCCCATCCTCACCACCCTGCCGCACAGCTGAGGGCGGTTACTGCAAACTGCAGCTCAGGTGACCGGCTTCAGCTCCTTCCTCCGGCACACGTGGAATCGCTTCAGAAAGAGTCTGGGACTTGAACCTTCACCTCGCGTCCCAGCTGCTGGGAGAGCTCGCGGCTCGCCAAGACGGGGGCGGCGGGGGGGTGGGGCGGAGCTCGGCTGGGGGGTCCGCAGTGCCAGGCCAGGCGGGCGGCCAGGAGGATCCAGGACCCGCGAGGCATCGGTTCTACTTGGCTTTGGAACAGCAGGGTGGGAAGGGCAGTCGTCCTGGGAATTTGGGACACTTCCCTCCGGAAGAGTCGGGTCAGAGCGGGAAGACCTAGGCAAGGAACCGGGTGGGAGGAAGGTCCTTGCCTGGCCATTCCCCTCTCCCGCCACCCGTTCCCTGTCTCCTTCCTTGTCCCTCTGTCCCTGTGTCTCTCCTACCGTGTCCCAGGGGGAGCAGGAGGCGGGAGGACACCGTGCCAGGGACAGGGAGAGCGGCAGTGAGTGCACCATGGCACAGGGGCGGGCCCTGCCGTGGGGTTACCTGCGTTCTGCAGATCTGACCTCCACCACGGCTCCCTTGCACTTAGCTAAGAGTTTGGGCTGTGGTCAAACGAAGTCAGCAAAACACGGAAAACCGTCAGGTGCAAGAATTACTATGGAAACAGCCCTGTAAAAACGGAGGTTTCTTTGCTTAGTCGCAGGATAAATCCTGAAGTCTCTGAGGCTTAGCAAACGGAACTGCCGCCTGCTCACCCCTTCCGAGGCGGCACCTGGGACCCCAAGAATGAGGACCTCGGAGGACAAGCAGCCCAGAGAGGTCAAGCGCGTGGCGCGCCCTCGCGCTCGCCCCTGGGTGACGTGTCAGCAGCTGCCGCTCGTCCCCTCCCCCTCTCGTTTCTTTCCTGGGCTCTGAGTGGACCTCGAGGCCAGGCTGCCTCAGCCTGCGCAGGGCCACGTTGCCTCCCATGCCAGGCCGCGTGCGTGACCCCGAGGGAAAGGGCAGGGAGCAGGTCCCCAGCCAAGCCACCAGGGGTCTGACGCAGGGAGGGTCAGGCACACGGCACCCCAGGAGGGAGCAGTCTCGGCTCCCCTGGGTCAGGCCCTGTGGGGGCCGGGGGGAAACTCCCCGGCACAGAGGGGCTCCTGGTCCTGCAGATTCCGGGCTGGGCCTGAGCGTCTCTGCCTGACCTTGGCCCCGACTAGCCCACCGCCCATCGCAGAGTCCTGTGCTGGCCTCGTCTGGGAAAGGACTTGGGCAGGCGGTGGGGCTTGTTCCCAGGGAATGCGAGTTACAGTGCATCAGCATCTAAAGTAATTTTAAAAGGCCTGGAATTCTTAAAAATCAGTTGATATATGGACACCATGTATCTTCTTTTAGCAACCCGGGCTCCTCCGCGGAGCTTAGCACCCAGCTGGCAAGAGCGGCCAGCTGCAGTAGGCGCTGTGTCTGCAGCAGGCCCAAAGGCGAGCGCCCCTCCTCACAGTCATCCGAGGAGCTGAGCCCCAAGACCAACCGCGCCCGTGACGGCTCTGCTGGTCCCTCTGTGAAGACGGTGGCAGCTGGAGACCCGGCTGCGTCAGCTCCCAGAGAGCGAGTGAGTGCGCTGGGTCCGGGTCACCACTGAGCTCACTCGGCCTTTTTACCCTCTTACCAGTCACAAAAGTCTCAGGTCCTCCTTCAGAGACAAGCTGCACACACAGCAGTCTCTGTTTCACGGCCTGAAATTACAGCGCTGGGTGTGCTCGTCCATCCAGCCCCCGACACGACCTGTGTGCCCCCCCCGCCCTCTTAATCACACCGGGCCACTTAACAACCGGCCCAGCCATGCGCCTGGGCTGTGAGAGGTGCCTCCTGCTGCGACTGGACAGTGATTCCCGAAGGGCCACGTGTTATCAGGAATTGCATCAAAGCACAAACTGATTCCGCTTCATGGGAAACCTTGTCTGTCAAATATTTCATTGAAAATAAAGTGGATTCAGTGGGTGAGGGGCTGGGTGATACATGGAGTCTGAAAATGCCCCTTGGGTGTTCCTGGCAGGATTTTGGTTGGTTGGTTGGTTGGTTCTTCCGTTCTATGCACAGCTACAAACGTTGCCCATCGTGAGCAGGTACGAGTTTTGGTTCTGCCTGGTCAAGAGATGGGCTTTCTGGGCCCGTCAGAACCAGCGTGGGCAGCAGCACTTGCTGTGGAACCAGTTCTGCTAGCAGAGCGGCCACGGCACGAGCTGCCAGGCCTTCGGGTGTCGGGCGTCAGCCACCACTTTTGAAAGGAATTCCCGCCCACCACCTACACCGCGTGAAGGGCGGGTGGCACCAGGGTGGGCCCTCTGCAGACCACAGGGCCTGCGGCTCCGCTCGGCCGTGCTGCGGATCTGGCCGGACCTTCAGGGTTGGGGTGGCCTCCGCCCTGCAGACGCCCCGCCAGGCCCAGCAGGATCACAAAGCACATTCTCACCACAAGGACAAGCAAACAGAAGTCCCCAGCTGGGTGCCGAGGCCCAAAAGCACTTAGAAGCAAATCATGTGCATATTTAGGAATCTTGCGAAATCCAAACAGGATGCAAACTGCTGAGCTTTTACTCCACAGGACGGGGAGAAACAGTGTTTTCCTCACAGGTCAAGGGCAGTTGCTCAACGTTTAACAAGCCCGGTTCCCGGAAACGCCGAGGTTGCTTACCCGGAACGCCGCTTTCCTCCACGGGCGGGCACGGCCCCTGCCATCCTCACCTGTCCTGCGGCCGCCATGGGGGCGACGGGCAATGTCACCGATCCAGGTATGTCTGAAGCCATTTCTGGAATTCAGTAAAGACGAGAGGTTTTGTCAATGGCAGCGAAACCCAGTAACAAGCAAACAAAGCCGCCATGCATGCGGTACTGGGAGAAGAGCCCAGGGACCTGGTCCCACAGGCCGCTCTGTCCATCACCAGCTGTGCGGCTCAGGTGAGTCCTCTCTCTCTCCCTGGGCTCTGCCTCTCTCCTCTGAAAGGGTGTCTTTGGGCACTGCTCCCATATTTACTGCTGGAAACAGTGGTTTAAAAGAATTAGCGCATCTTAGCAGCTTTCGAAAGGGACTCCTATCTCCTGGCCACCTGGGAGCAGGTATGAGGTCCAGGAACCCAGGCAGCGTGGCCAAAGCCTGGGAGCCGCCGCTGCCGCCAGATACTGGTGCCCCAGATGGGACAAGTTCAAGGGCAGCCCTGCTGACGTTCTGCCCCGGCCTGAGCCTCGTGTTCGAGCAGAAGGGCTAGACCCCACCCTCACTCTGGACCCGGAACCCCTACGTGTCGGAGCTCGGCCCTTCTGTTCACGGCGAGGGCAGCGAGGTCTGGGGGCATCGAAAGCATCACCTCAGGCTGCGCCACGCCAGGCGGAGGCGTCCTGGCTCTCTGTAGCCAGGCCTTTCCAGGAATAAATGTTAATTTAAAAAAACAAGAAGGCCTGGCACTAGGCGAGAATACCTTTCCTGCACATCGTGGCCAAGATACATCATTTCTTATATGCCAGACACTTTTGGAAGCTTGTTAAGGCCACATTAAGCATCCCTGATTTCAAAGAAACCACACTGTTAAAAAGTTTCTTCTTCCCATTTTCTGGAGGGTTCTGAAACTCAGGCACCCTTTACTCCCCCGGCACGAAAACTATCCAAGTGGCCTCTCTGATGCTGTGTATTGTTCTTGGGAAGGACTTCCACGGCGTCAGCTTCTCTTAGCCCGGCCTTACCTGGGGCGGAAGGGAAGCAACAGTCTAAAAGACATGTTTCAAACAGACAGTTCAGGAAAACACGGGACCGTATTTGTTGGTGGAGAAGGGAGCCCCGTGATACTGACGGGGCAAGCTCGGGGTGGGTGCCAGCTCTGCTTCCTTCCCGCAGAAACCAGGGCGTCCTGCGGCCGCTGACGGACAGGCACGTCCAAAAACAGCGTGTTCAATAAACACACTCAAAGGTCAACGTGAACTATTCAACTCAAAGCTCTTGAAGAAGGATTTTACAATACTGATAAACAAAACCTTAATGTAGCCACTCTATGTCCACAAAACGTTGAGAATGATTACAGTTTTGTTTTTTAAAACCCATGTACACATTGAAAAGTATTCCAGGAAAAAAAAAATCCCTTTCTTAAAGTAATTCTCTCCCCTTTAGACAATTACCGTACACTGGCTTTGCGACAGCTAGACAGCCTTAACAGCGATGACCTGGCAACCTTAGCACCAGCCTGCTTCTGACAAGGAATTTCTATTTTTTCTGAAATGGAGGCTGAAACACATTAAGTCCAAAAACTCAAGGGCAGAATTGCTGTTTGAGCAAACACAAGCGAAAACAAAAGTCACCACTTCCTAAAGCAAGTACCACAGAACGGCAGCCCTTTAATTCTCCAAGAAAAATGGTTCCCTGCTCAAAGAAGGTAGGAAAAAGCTTCCCACTAACCCTCTTTCTTGGAGATGCCAACGTCCATTAAAACATACTGAGAAGTCCTACCTACAGAAAGCAGTATGTTTAACTTCGATTAACCCAGCGTATCATAAACGTCTCTGACTGCGGAGAGTTTTGAAATGCATTACCTGTCCGGCTAATTCCGTGCAACACTAGTTTCAGTACTTGAAAGCCAACTTCCTCACTCCCATCTTTGGGTTAAGGAGATTTCAGGCTGGAAGAGCTCTTAGCTGGCATCGGCAAGCCTAGAAAGGCCAATCCCTCCCCTGTTCCAACTACCCTAATTTTATTTTGGGAAAACAAAAATGCCAATAGGTTTGTAACACACCTGCAGAAAGCGAAGCTCCCCAAGCCCCGGCTGGCGGGCAAAGGCGGAGGACCACGGCGGATCCAGCCCTTCCCTCAGACAGAGGAGGGGGCGAAGCAAAGAGATGGGGTGACCCGCACCAGCCCACAGCTGGCCTTCGTCACCTCTTATTTCATGTCCAGTTCCTCCGTCACGCCCTGTTTCCTGGCAGAGCTTCCAGAGCAACACTCAGTCACAGGGACCACGAAGGCTCTGGGGCTTTGTCGTCGCAACGTCTGGTTTAGAGTCAAAGCTCAAACACTTCCTAGCTCTAGGGGCGACTGAGCTACTCTGCGTCAAAATCAATAAAATATTCCTAAGAGATGCCTCGAGGGATCGTTTCAAAAATGAAGGACGATGTCTGTGAAGAGCCTAACGCGGTGCCTGGGAAAAGGGAGCATCCCGGCGACAGCGTTACCATGGTTACGCAGATGGTGAGCAAACCGGCTTCCTCCTCAAATTTCGCCGGGAGGAGCAGCCGGCTCGAGACAGACGTTCTCCGCGATGTCCAGGAACCTGCTCCTGCGCTGATGTTTTAAAGCACATCTAAGGGACGGTGTCTCATTGTATCAAATCTGTTTTGGTAACTGGATTAGTGTTTGGGATGGTAAATAAACCAAGTGTAAGGTGCGTCGACAAGGCTAAGGTGCACTTTAAAACTTAAATGTTTTCTCTCATGTGGGTTTTTAGGAGCCACCCTTAATAAATACAAACAAAAGCAAAAAAAAAAAAAAACAGGTCTCCCCCTCTGTATTCTGTGCCTATATCCACCGACGGGATCAGCCCTCAGCCTTCCTCGGAGAAGTGACTACCTGCTTCCCGGATCCGGCGACTCTGCCCTGTGACTCGAGCACAAGTGAGCAAAAGCTCCTGGATGTCCACCCGGGGAGGGCGGCTGGAGGGAGGGCCCTGGCCAGGTCGGAGGGGAGAATCCCACCGGCCGGGCCGGGGTCACGTGGAGCAGAGAAGGCTGACCTTTAGACGAAGACCAGCCCGCAGCGTGTTGTTTGCTCTGGGGATGCTAAATCTCACTCTGAAAGGAAGAAGAGCAGAACCCGCTCACCGCAGTGTATGGAGAGGAAGTCACACCCGACACCTACAGGGCGACCACGTGGCCACGTGGCAGTGTGCGCTCAACTGAAAACACACACACCCACAGACGCTAACCGAACTTACGATCCTTTTCTCACGGTAAGGAATTAAGTCACGTCTATGATTTTGTTTTCTGTTCTAGATCCCTGGAGTCCAAGCAAGGTGACAATGGCCCCCCGGTTCCGAGGCAGCCCCACTGCTAACACGCTCCCTGGTCCTGCTGCCGCAGGGACGAAGGGGCCTGAGACCGGGTCCCTTCCCGGGCCGACCCCGCACTGCCTCCCCCAGAGTCCTGCCGTCAACCGCGGGGGCCCGTCCCAGGGAGGAGGCGCGGGCCAGGCTGAGTCCGGGGCTGGGGCCTCCCCTCCACCGGCCTGACCTCCCGCCTCCGTCCCGTCCCCACCCTTCTTCCCCCAGGGGGTCCCCCCCCACTCGCTCACACATATGCACACACACACATCAACACACTGCACACATGCCACACACACCCCACACACCTTATTCACACAAATACACCGTACACACACCACTCACATACATCACACACACTGCTCAGACCACGCACACATGCACACACCACTCATACACACTACTCTCTCGTACACACACGCACACACACACACACAGAGACACATGCACACACACACAGACATACACACGCACACACACGCACACATGCACACACCACTCATACACACTACTCTCTCGCACACACCCACGCATACACACACACAGACACACGCACACACACAGACACGCACACGCACACACACATGCAGACATGCACACACGCACACACACGCACACACACAGAGACACACGCACACACACAGACATACACACACGCACACACACGCACACACGCACACACCACTCATACACACTACTCTCTCGCACACACCCACGCATACAGACACATGCACACACACACACACACACGCAGACATGCACACACACGCACACACACACGCACACACAGACACACGCACACACACACATACACACACGCACACACACGCACACACGCACACACCACTCATACACACTACTCTCGCACACACCCACGCATACACACACACAGACACACGCACACACGCACAGACACGCACACGCACACACACGCAGACACGCACACACACGCACAGACATACACACACACACAGAGCCCACCCTGGACCCGACGGGCGCAGCACCCCCTTGCCGACAACACGCCTCCACCTCGCTGAGCGCGTCACCTGAGCGGGGCAGTGAGCACCTGCGCTTGTCACAGCCCGGGGGCCGCACAGCCCATGCGTGCTTCGGAGCGCAGGCTCAGGCCGGCGTGGGAGCCCGGAAATCCTGAACGAGTCACTGTCCCCTCCACTCCAGCTCCCACAGTGGCCCGCGCCAGCCCGGCCAGGAGCTCCTCTGACAGGAGGGGAGGACGGGACCCTCGCCTCGGTTTCCCGTGCGGCGCAGGGTCTGCCGCGTGTGGAAAGAACAGGTGCCCAGCGCAGCACGGAAACCCGGGCACATTCTATGACAACACTGGTATTTTGTATCAAGACTCACAGCAATCTTAAAAACAGACGTGGAATTTTCCAGGGCTTGGAACTGTGGCAAAGCAGCCTGCTCCCCTCGTGGAGCGGAGCCACCAAGAGCGGCCTCCCCATGCCGTCTCCTCGCCTCCCACCCTCCCTTCAACCTTCTCTCGGCCGGCTCCGTCCCCGTCACCCTCTGGCAGCTGCCACCCTCACAGGGACCACGCTCGCTCGTGCGGCAGTCGCCCTCCGCCTGCGACGCTCTCCGGGGACGTGTGGCTCCCCTGCCCCTCCTCAAGCAGTCGCACCTGCCTCTGCCCACGCCCCTCCTCCCAGGCCGCCTCCTCTTCCTCCTCTCCCAGCCCTCAGGGCACCCTGCGCAGCCCCCTCCCCTCCACCTGTGTGTCCCAGGTGGCCTCGCTCCGGCCCTCGCAGCAATGCCGCGGC